TGTAGGACTGTTAGCGTTTGTTTTTTCTATGTCAACGCTAAATGCGTTCTCTCTAAGATGTGTGTGTGTATATGTGCACACTTGCACTTGGTCTTTATTTCGTATATTTTAAATGATGGAAAATACGTACATATATAGTGAGCGAAGAAAAATATAGAAAAAAAGAAAGAGAAAAAGAAAAGAGAGAACAAAGACTAGACATATGGATAACAAAAGAGAAGACTGGATATATCACCGAGAAAGAAACGGAAAACGAAATAAAAAATGAAAATAGATGTCGAGATGTATCACTGCAGTATCACTGTAACATACTCCCTTATTGGACAAAAAAAAATGTGTCCTGTCAACATGTTTTCCCTGAGAGGACTAACGACAGAAATATAATAACAAATAAACGAATTAACAAAAAGTAAACAATCATAAGCATAGTTTATACCCATGAGAGCAGTAACAAAAAACAAAATATGAACGCGGTGAAGATGTTTGGAAAAAAAAATATAATAAATCAATATAACAAGTAACGTTAACAATAACAAAAAAATATAACGATATGAAATAGACACTGTCTTTTTTTTTTCTTCGTTCAGTCTCGTTTTTTCGTCGGTTTCTTCAATCACGTTGGTTTCTCGAACAAGTGCTTGTAAATGTGAAAGTGAATTCATATATGACTTATGTATTTGATGTATGGCGACGATGACTATTATTTTTATGATAATGATGATGTGTGTGATGATAAATATCTCGTTTTTGTATACTCAAAAAGTGAGTACACTCTAGAATCGGTCAGTATGTCCGGCCGGCCGGCCGTTTATACGATAACTTTCGAAAGGAGAGTCCGATCACGATGAAATTTTCTATACAGTTCAGTCTTTACAATATCTCGGTCGAGCTCGAAGATGAGAAGGATCGGTCGAGCCATTCCTGAGTTATTGCAAAAATACCCATTTTTCCCTATAGCTTTCTATGGAAAAATCGACCCATCGCCGCGTTCGTAAAAGACTTTTCCTATCATAGTCAATTAAAACCCCAACTGTTATATACCATTCGATAGAGAATTTCAAGAGCTACAGAATGATATATAAAACATGAGGAAACAGGAAGATTATCTCACCCATCGCAAAGATAAATAGGGAAGAATCGGTTCTGTTTTTCTGCACGCTCTAATTGATCACCAATTAGAGCTCTATCTTTCGACCATAGAGATGATAATCAAAGGTTTTCTGGGGCGGAGAACTAGAATCTGCACTAAACTTGGTTCGAAGCCCCATTGGTTGAGTATTGACCAATAGAAATCATGTTTTAGGAAAAACAACTTTCTGAGGCTAAATAAAGCCGAATAGGTGAAATTTGAGCTGTATACGCTCCTAAGTCCTACGGTTGAACAGTAGGCAATCGAATTCAAGGGTTTATAGAAAAGGTTGCCGCGCAAATTTTTATATCCAGACATTCTAGGATGACCGATTTGTCTCATTCACTTTTTGAAGTACACATAACTCTCGGATAGAAATCCGAGATTTCCACATTTATTTCATAAAACTTCACTATTGATTGACATTTATCGACCAACTTTTTTTTTTGTATGATAGATAACATCATCAAGGTTTTATTTCTATGGGAAAACAATAAAAGTGTTCTTTGAAGTAATTACAATTAGATGAGATATAATCATCTAGCCTTTTTTTCTAATATCAAAATAATATTATTCTGAGCTTGTTTTAATTGCTTGAATTTCAATTTGAGAGCAGACGATTACTTTTTATTGGGACACGTTAATAGAAATAAAATCGTGATGGTGTTGCCTATCATACAAAACAAATCACTTCATAAAGGTCAATTAACAGTGAATTTATACGAAAAAAAAAAAATTTTTTTTGTGCAGAGCCTTTTTAGGACACACTATACACTGGCTAACTTATTGTTTACAAGACATGTCTAGTAATAGCTACCACTTGTTTCCATCAAAATCGTTCAAATCGTTAAAAATATTTGATTGATTGTCAAAAACGTTTTTAAAAATTACTAATTTTAATCTATTTAAACGTGTTATAAGTGACTTATAAACATTTTTCACAGTTTACACAATGAGATGCTGAAATAGCAGCTTCACCATTGGGAAGATCGAAAAAGAAATTGATTGCACTTTTTTTTTCATGATTCAAATTTTGTATTGATAAATAATAGAAGATGGGTTTTTTTCAACATCGAACCAATTCTCTTTGGTTTGAACATATTCCAAGTAGTTTGTATGGGTCTGATTGCTATTAGTGCAATATGGTATACTTTAATTGTTTATCTAAATTGTCATTTTTATATACAACAACAAATATCATTACTGTTAATTATACTGTTGCAGCTCTTTCATATGTTATTTTCTATGGATTCTATTATGGATTAACGTTTCATGATGATTATTTTACTATTCTTAGCATAAAATGATGTGCTTTAATAAATTAATTAATACCTGTCATAAATGGTTATCTTATTTACTGATTAGGTGAAGTTTTTATTAATCGTCTGTGTGTTATTATATTTTATCGTAAAAGAATATTCAAAAAGAGTTAATGTGTAATTACTTGTATGAGTTTTCAATTGATTTTATCAGTAATTGTACCTTTACAAAATTTGTTCATTATTCAAAAAATGATAAGTTAAAATATATCTAAGAAAATAAAACTATTATTCATAATGATTATATTTTCATAGAAATGTATTCAGAAAAGTTATCCATATTGGATATCTATTAATACATTTCTTACTCTTATTATTTTATCAACAATTCTTTTCGGTACTGGAAATATTATTATTGTTAATTTTATTCGAAAAGCAATACGTTGTATTCAAACAAAAAAATCTTGTAATTATGACGCTTTCTCGACGATTTGTTGTTACTCGACGTGATACCGTCAAGTTACTTAAGAATATGTTACTAATGTTTCTATTTTTTACTCTTAGCTAGAATCTAAGTTATATTTTTCAAATGTTTAATACTGAAAGCAATATTTTTACATTGAGAGTAGGATTTGGATTAATTATTTTATCTGCCATTATTTTATTGGCAGATATTATTATACTTTTTTACTACAATGAAGAACTGCGCATTTATAGTCTTAAATGTATAATCAAACAATCACTAAGACATAGACAAATGGCTACCAATATTAATCATGCTAACCATATCCAAAGTACAAGATTCTAATTAATTAGAGAAAACAAGTGAAATCTTAATGAAATTTAAAATTTTTTTCCAATGAAGTTTTGCTTTTGAAGAAATCTTTTCATTATGTGATAGCTCATGGGCTGAGAAATAGTTATTAGGCTTTTTTTGTTCCCTTGATCGAATGAGATGTTTCTGTTCTAAAAGAGTATCAATATGAATCATAGGTCTAAAGCGAGAAAATTCCTTCAAATTTGAAATATGTGTCATACTGGAAGATGCACCTGCAGAGCATTACTCAATCATCTATTCATATATGCTGGCATTCTGCCAACAACATATAGTATCGATTTAAAAAATGAACTCGAAAAATGGCATCGTATATAATATGTTGATAAGACACTTAGCGATCCTAAGGTGATTGAATATGTTTTTGCTCAGTTTATTACATTAAAATGTTCAAATAAATTCTTAATAGAAAAATTACCGAACCAGTGATGTAATGCAGATCATTGAAACAGTTTTCTCTTGATTGACAACTCCTCATCTGCAAGATAAATTCAAGAAAAATAAGTTTTTAAGCCTTTTTATATCATTATGCATGATAAAAACAGATGAATCTATCAATAAGAAAATACTGTTCAATTGAAGCGAATGTTTATCTAGCAATTTTTGGAATATGGTTTCAAAAACGATTTAAAGTTGTTGCAACATGGATCTAGAAAGCACGATTAAAACGAAGGTCTTATTTCATTTCAATAAATCACCGAAATTCTTTTCGTGGCATGAGAATAAACTTATGCATTTACCTGCGTTAGAAAATTCTTAATTTGAAAGTAGAGCTTTATAAGAGCAAGGCGTTCATTAATTTTCTTTCCATATTTATCAACTTTTTCAGCATACTAATTTAAAAGACCTTTTTCTATGTATCTTCTTTTGTTTTCTTCAATTTATTAGATAAGTTTTTATGTTATCTTTCATAGTCACATGGCATAAATTTCAGTTTGAGTAAGACTATCATTGTGAGAGTATTCCGTCTAACGACTTGAGAATATGAGTGTTAAGATGACTCTGTCTCTCTTCATCTTACTGTCCAATGTTGACTTTCGTAATCAAGTCAATCCAAAGATCATCTAGATGTATTTCTCAGTCCGTAAGATAACTCACATTCTTATTACTCAAATTATGAAAACTATTTAATAATTTAGTTTAATTTAGAAGTTATTTTTAAGAATCGTCGAATTCTACGTATAAGCACTCGTTGATATTATGAACTACAAATGTGAAACATTTTAGAATTTCACGATACTTGGTCTATGAAGAGCAAGATTATATGAATCAGAGCTTTTTGTTCATCTTCACTCTGACTTAAATCGTGTTACATTGACATCTTCTCACTTTATACTAATTTGAATTTATAGTTTTTTATTTGTTTTATCATTCTATGGATGTTGATGTGCTTTTAACCCATCCACATACCCATATTCTGACAAACGCTCTTTGATGAGAATATACGTCGGATTTCAACCGAAAACTAAGCATATAAACATGCCTGAACGTTACAATAAATTTTTGCCCAAAAAAAATCAAGTCCACCACTTTAACATCCATCGTAGTAGCAAAATGAGTCTCTATTGCATGATGATGTTGTAAGAGCATCTGTTGATAATCTGACAAATCGAAATATATCAGAGTTACCATTTAGCAAAATTGTCATTTTCAAAATCAACATTAATTAGCTCTTTATTGAATACTAACTCTGCTAAATCATTCTAAGTAATAATATCAATGCAAGAGTTTACAAAAACAAAGAAAATCTAAAAGAATTCATCAGAAAAAAAAAGGATTAAGACTGACAATCATATCCAGTACAGCGCGGACAATCAATTGAATAACATTTTGTCCAATAACTATTACATTGTCCAAAGCAATCTGGCCACATTGTTCTACAAAATCCGCTAAGACATGTTGTTATCATTTGATTACAATCACCTTCATTCTTACATGAACTCGGAGATGGATCCGGTAAAGTGCAGCGATTATCAACACATTTACCACAAGAATATAAAAGACAATCAGTATAATTGTTGCAGTAGGCACCACATTGTGTATAGTTCGATGAAAATGAATGTTTGTCTTGTTGTTGTTGTTGTTGTTCAATGAATGATTGAGGTAACGATATTTTCCATAATTCTTGATGTTCATAGTATACAACAACAACGAACAAAGTTTCATTAGTAACACCAAGACGTGCTACACGACCTTGTGCTACAGATGTATTGAATCTCCAAACTGGTTCATTTGACGATGGTAAACGACCAATAATAAAATAATCTTGTGCAGTCAAATGTAAACGATCACATGTACGAACAGTAGTAGTTACTGGATAATTTACATAGAAATTACTATTCGGTACACTGACATTCCATAATAATTGACCATTATCACCATCCCATAACGATAATATTTGTCGAAACGTAAAATCACCTTAAAAAGTCTTCAAATCATATTAAAACTTAATATAAGAAACTGATTTCTTACCAAGATAATTAATATTAATAATAGTTGTATCATTAATGGAACTATCGACACGTTGATCATATGTGGCTGGTCTTGCTCTTAAAAATCTCAATGTACCATTTTCTCCATTGAATGCCATTAATGTTCGTCCTGACAAATAAACAATACCGTCATCATTTGCTGATGACAAAGGATGACCAATAGATAACCAATGTTCGGCCGTATATAACCAATTTTGATACAATAATTTTCCAGTAAGAAGATCAATTCCCATCAAAGAATTATTTCCATAGCCAATCGGATAAATATAACCAGGCATTGTCGATAGATATACACGTTTTATTTTTGAATTAATTGCTGGAGATGAAACAAATACATTATATGTACTGACTTTATCTGCCATAGTCAAATTAGTTGTCCACAACAATTGTCTCTTTGGCAATGATGCATCAAAACATTGTAATGTAAAGTTAGGTGTCTTCCACAAATAATCATAGGATACAGCACAAATATGTGCAGATTGTAAATCTACTTGAAAATTAATATAATTTAATATAGTAAAATTATGTCGAACAGTTCCATTTATTGCATGTAAACCAATTAGATAAGATGAATTCGTTGATTGAGAATATTGAGCAAACCAGATAGATTCTAATTGTTTGTGAACTATAACAATCGATGATTGAGCTGTTAAATCATAAGTATAATTCCAAACAACTTGATTTTCAGGTGATACACGAGCAATACGTAAACCAGCTATTGGATTATATTCATATTCCGACAGAATGACATCTCGATCATATGTTGTTACAGCAACAAATGGAGATTGATATGTTATATTCCGAATCCAATCAATTTTTGAATTTCGATGTTGAATATTAAATTTCTCTATAGTCAAATTTAATTGTGTGGTTTCGAAAAGACCATGTCTATGTCGAATTGATGAAGAAGTTTCTCTTTTTCCAGTATTAATTGAGCAGGATTTTTTAGATTCAATTACAGTTAATAAATATATTAGTAATAATATGAAATACGTGCATAACAATCGTTGCATTTTCAGTCTTTTACAATGTAAAGCTTACCTAGAAAAACAGAATGAATTATATGAGAAAAAAATCAGCTGTGTTCTTTATTTTATTAAAAGAGAATGATAAGCTAAATATATCAACAAAAAAATCAACTTTAATGTTTTCTTTGACAAATTTGATGATTATATGATTCACATATTGGCTATGTGAAAATATGTAAGAAGAAAAACTATCGGAAACGCTATTTACAAAATAAATAAAATTTTTTTAATATTTTATCTATAATCCACAAGTTTGTAATCAACTCACACTAAATAATTAAAGAGTGTTTCTCACTGAGTTAATACGGTATGATTAGTATGATACATAGTTACGAAATGGTCATTTAAACTCGATTACAGATCGATAGACAGATAGATACAGACTAATTTTGGTTTCTGGATCGTATCATTCTACTTTTGAGAATAAAGATCCGTGTTTACCGTTATCAAGAGAAAGAAAAATATTAAAATAATGATGTTCATTTGAAAGAAAAACTTGGAAATCATCAATAAATAGTATTTCTGTTATAATATGTTGGTATGAGTTTTATTTTATTTGATTCACTATATTCAAGTAAAATAGTTGTGGAATAAATAAAATTATCTTTAAAAACTGATCTCCATTAAAATCATTCTCCTACTGAAAATATTTTCATGTCATTGAATGATATTGAATAAAAAATCTATGGAATAAAACAAAGAAATATTTTCTATATTTCACGAAAACTTATGCTTTCATTTTGGTCTTTTAAAAATAGCTTTTCTTTCTGTGATTAAATTTCTTCGTTTTTTGTAAAAGAATATTTTACTGTTATTGGTAAAGAATACAAATGGATTGATGTATTTATTTGATAAAATCAAAGAAAAAGGTTTAATCATCTTTGTATTATTTACGTGAGTTCATAAATCTATCCCATCATGTTAAAAAACTTCCATAATTCATTTTTGCATGTTAATGATGATAATCATGTTGTAATCTTCCAGACATTAACCATGGAAAATAATATTGAGGACTTATATATGGTAAATCATAACCCGAATGAGTATTTATTATTTGATAAACACGAATAAATATCCATAAACATATTGTAAATAAATGTTTTTCTTTGAAAAATATTGGTACGAACCAAACAGCAAGTTGATTTTGTAATAATGATTCCCATGGATTAGCTAAAACAAAAACAATACCAGTCGGTTGTTTGAATAAATGATGTTTTCTATGAATATGTTTATATAACCAACATGTATGAAACAAATAATGTATCCAAAAAAATAAAAAATCTTCACTGAATATAAATAGAATTAATTGCCATATTATTATAAATATTGATGGAATTGATGAACGTACAGATATATTACCAAAATAATTTAATAAGTTATATAATAATGGTAAGATAAATATCAATGATAATTGATGTTTTATTGTTCCAATTTTCATTTGATAAATAATATCAGATTGAAAACGAAGTTTTGGTTTATATTATTGTATTCGATATTTATCAATTGACGGAATATCATTATATTCAATATAAATAAGAAATAAATTATATTACCAAAATACACTTTGAAATGTAATATAAATACAAACAGTAAATGTTAACCATTCAGATCAATAAAAATATTTATCACATATATAACTAAAAAATGTTAATGAGTTTATTACAATTTCTGATGTTTTTGTAACATTCATTCTTTGCCTTTATCATATTAATAATGTCTTTAGAATATTTTTATATATTTATCTTGTGTTTGCATTATTATTTCGACAATATCACATGTCTATTTTATCTCTACAAGTTAACATAAATAATAACAATACTCGAAATAATTGTAATTTGGTTTTATTGTAGTGGTTCATAGCTATGCGACAGATATCAAAAAAATTTTTTTTTAATCTTTATTTGAATATGATTTCATTCAATTGAGATTGAGTTCTAAATTGAATTTTCCATCTTGATATACTCTTCTGAAAACAATGCTTTACTTTTTGAGTGAGGGCGTGGATGTGGGTGGGTGTAGATGCGGGTGTGGGGTGTTGTGATAAATAAAGTTGGTCTGTGAGCGGCAAAGAAAAAACAGCTCGGGGAAATTTTTTGGAGAAAACTTTCGCGGGGGGCGGGGGAATTTTTTATTTTTTGGAAGATTCTGCACCCCTGATCAGGATACACATAAATTTCATGTTGTTTCAATTTTGAATGACCCAAATAATTTTTCTTGCCACCATACACCTGAAAATTATAACTATTCTCATAAAAACAACTGCCATCATCATGATCAATAGGATAAGAAGAGTTGTAATTATTGAAAAGTGTATTGTGATGAATATAACTTTTATGTCGCCAAAGTGAAGGTAAGCCTCGTTGAACAGCATCGCTTAAAAACGGTTGTCGATCCCATGTATTGATGAGTCTATGATCGCTTGTTTCTCGAACAGTATTGAATATGATATTCCAGCTAAGAGTATTAATTCCATAGAATCCATCATTGACATTAATTGCTGCTCGTGGTATATTGAACATTAAATTACCGATAACAGATACACTCCGACTGACAGATATCAGTATAGGTGACGATTGTTTGACATAAATGCCGGTTTCATGTATTAGATTTGATTGTATAAGCGTATTAGCAGGCTGACTCGCCATACTAAAACCATCGATTCCATTCGTACTACCAACAAGGATAATTGCAGAGTTGGCTAACCATACGAATTCATTTAAAGTGATCGAAATAGCGTCATTGTAATCAATTAAAGCTACACCATTGCTTCCTGGTTCCATGAATAAATAACGTGTAATAGTTATATTTCTCGTATTTGTTAAATAGATATTTCCACCTCGATGAACAGCCCAATCACCACCACTTGGTCCCATATAATCTCTCATATAAGTATTACTAGTTTGTGTTAATGTTAAACCTTGAATCAGTACATTGTGAATAGAATCTTGAATACTATTGCCACTAATACATATTAGACATGGAATTTGACTAGCAAGAAAAATTTGAGGCATACTTTCGTTCTGCATAAAATAGAGTGTACGAATATCTTTGTCTAAAAACCATTCGTTTGATAAATCAAGCTCTTCAAAAATATTTGCAACGTAAAATGCACCTCCATTTCCCGAACCACGTACTTCTTGAAAATCTTCTCGACTGAATATGGTAGTATTTTGTGTACTATTGATCGATGCTATTTCAAACATCCAACTATCCCAATAACCAGAGTGAAAAGCATGCACCAAACCAGTCGTAGGCTTACTCCAGTTGACAATATGAGGTAATGCTCCATTGTTGACGATAAGACCACGAGGAACAACATAATTATTACCCTGAGGTGGTGAAGCTGTACTCCAAAAATTAGTAGATGGATTAAAAACAGAAGCACCTCCACCTCAACCAAGTTGATAGTTGGTAAATACTGTACTGTTTTTATAAGGTTCTTCTACATGAATTTCCACACTTTGGTTAAAAATCGGTGGAAGCCAATTATGTGCATCGAAAGAAAAACCTGGATCTTTTGCATATAAACCTTGAGTAGAAGGATCACCATTCGAACATTTAGCAACGCTCGCTCTTTAACCATCAATATATAATTCATTGAATTGTTCTAGTTTGACAGATGATGGTATTTGAGCTTTCATAATTTTACGACCATCTTTTGTTGTGACGTGAACTGACCATTGTAAGTTTAATAATGTATCACCACTCAATATAACCTGTTCATCCTGATAGTTTTCAATTACAAGATTACTGTCGTTACTTGTCAATGCTATTGCACCAATTTGACTACTTGTTGTAGTAGCATTTGTACCTAAATAGTAAGTTCGTCCACGTATGCTAATGCATAATATTTTATCACTACCATGAACAATACGTAGAGTATGTGTAAAAGATACAGTTGCTTGGATAGTTTTCAGTGGTCTTTCGAATGTTCCATCAAACAAATAATTTCCTTTTAAATCGTACACAAATATTGTATGATGACAAGCTCTTTTTTTCATTTCTGGTACAGTCTTGAACGGTTTAGTCAAATTTGACGGTTGATAAGCAATGTAGGACGTATCGTTGCATTGATTCATTTGAAACGCACTCTGGCTCAGTTATGTCTAATTATTTTTCGAGGATGTAGGCGAAATATAGGCAGCCATTTCAATGGTGAAGGCTCGAAGAGCACAATCATATTTACACTTGATATTTGGATTATCGACTCGACCGTGACGAGGATGACGTAGATCACTTTCAGTTAAGCTTACTAAAGTACGAATGTTATTTGAAGTATTCACAAAAGATGATCTCAGTGATAGTGTTATAAGAAAAGCATTCATCTTTCAATTTGTTGTTTCTGTTAACGTAGATACAAAAAAAGTAACAGGTATATTTATTCTTTGTTTAATAAACGACCTTCTGAAATATGTGTGTATCTACGATAACACACCTTACATTTGTTTCTACATAGACAAGATGAAGCACACTAAATTCAACATTCAAGTTTGTTTTTGTTCTATCCATGATCTATTTAAACCAAAACATCATTCATTAAAGACTCGACTTCTCGATACAACAGTTAATTATTTAATTAAAACCAAACTTAATTAACATAAACGTAAGGATGTGTGAGTGCGGATGAAAAGAAGAACCATATCCACAGATTCACATCTAACAATAATTAGTTTTTTAACTTATTAATATTTCAAATAATTATGCTCTTTTTTCATGTAACAAAATCAAGAAATAACTCGAGTGAATTATGAAGAAGTCATTCTCTTGTCGATATCTTATTGAAGAAACAAAGTAAAAGAAATTCAAAGATATGCGATGCAAAAATTTATATTTAGGATAGTCTAGATTAATATATTTTAAATTTATAGTTGTTAAAGTTTAAGCTCGCGTCAACTTTGGTTACCGAGAAAGTAGTTTAAAGTAGAATTAGGACTTTTTCTCCTTCAATCACTGAAATATAAGATAACAATAAATATTGGTAGAACAAATATTTCATTTGATTTTTTATATTGATTAATACATATATTAAATAATATTTTAAGTTTATATACGTAAATGAGTAAGGAACTCTATTTGTACAGTTTTAAAGAATCGTTTCACTTGAACTTTTGTTTTATTCTGTTTGGTTGATGTTTCCACATATTGCACAATTCAATTCAATCATGACATCGTTTTTTTGACCTTGTTTCATGTTTTCATGGGCTAAAAGGCATGTACACCAACAAGAAATTTACAAAGTTATCTTGTGTGTAAACTTGCTTGGCATGATATTGTCGAATAGTTAAAAAAAACTTTCAAAAACTTGTATTCTTCTTCATAATATACGCATCATAAAAAATTGTCATTATTACAAAATCGATTTTCATTCGATGTCGATTATCAAAACAGTTATTTCATGTCATTTCCAAGAATTAATCCTAAATCAATACGACTACAACAGTCACTTACATGTCTAAAAACATTCTACACTTGCAAGAGAAGATGAATCACTTTTGCATCACCAAACTCTACTGGAATATGTAAAGCAATACTACCATTCACTAATCGACAATTTCTAGTCTCTAAATAAGATGTTTCAAGTAATGCTCATGCTAATTCAAGAACATTTTCAAAATAAGCTTTATAGAGATAACTTAACTTATCATCATTGGCTATATCATTATCGAAAGTTGTCAATTGTTAATGATTCATTGAATATTGATTAACGATATAAATATATTTATTAAAGAGAGAGTGCTATTATTTTTCATCGTTTTCTTCTTTTGCCTTCAGTCAATAAATTTAGAAGAAAAATAATTTCATATCTCTTCTGTGTGACATAATTTATATTAATAAATACCTTTTTCTTTTTTTTTACTTTTTGAATATTATGTTTTTTTTTTCTATGATAAGGTTATTCGTTTGAGACAGAACGATAGTAAAATAATAAATAAAAAGACTGATAAAATGATAACAATAGGTCACACTCTTATTAATATATACAAACATTCATTTTCAATGAGTTTCGAAACCATAAAAGAGCATTGTTTTTGAATGATACCTTAGATGTGCATATATCATCAATATAGATCAGGTATGTTCTTTCTCAGAGTTAACTATGGTCTCAATCAATATGAGTTCAAAATAAATACAGATACGTTCAATTTGAAAGTGATTTTTCTGTTTTTAACATATGTTATCATGTTTGTTTAAATATTTGTCTTTTTTCTTTTCATTCCGTTTGAATCATATCATAATAATTGAGTGGCTATTTAATTAAACATCTATTTTTCATACTTCTTACAGAATAAATCGAAAAAAATGTATTCGATATATTATATTCATATTGCATTGATATTTACTTTAATTTATTGTTCTACATCAATAATGATTCATTTTTATCATGAAAATTTATTTGAATTATCGAATGAAAATTTAACTGTTCAATTTAATTTATCTAATGGACAAATAACATCATTTAATTATAAATCACAATTAATAACAATAGAAAATGAAACAAGTTTTATTTTTATCAATAATATTCGAATTGATTGTTCAAAATTAATAAATTTCAAAGAAGATATAAATTCAATTAATTTTACTTATTCTTGTTTAAATGAAACAAATTCTCAACTAACTATAATCTATACATTAAAATTTCAATGGGAATTTCTACAAAAAAAAATTTATTTTGAAAATATTGATAATAAAAATATAACATCAATTGAAACAACATTTACTCTGACGAATAAAATAATTCCATCTGTTTCGATTATTCAAAATCGACAAGATTTAAATAAAGAACATACTATTTTCTTACGAACTAAATTAAATACATTAGGAATATTTGCTACATGGCAACATCCATTTGGTCATTATTCTATTACATCAAATAATCAAACAGTAATAAGCTCATATCAAATAGGAATAAATAGATCTTATTTAAGTGAAGGTTTTCTTATTGGTTTTTATCAATTATCTTCATATTGGCATAATAATGATATTAATTATGGTGAAAGAGAAGCTTATGAAAAAGCAACAAGTTTTTTCTATCCTGTATCACAACGTAAACAATCAATAAAACATGCAGTTGGTTGGGATAGTAATGATTATCAAATTGACATTTCAACATCACATGGTATTGATCAATATAAACGTTTAATTGATCGTTGTGCACAACTTGGAATAAATAGTCTAACATTTGCACCATCAAATACAAATGTATCAAATCGTCAAGAGGCCACTGACGATTGGGGCTGGGAATCTGTTTTATGGTTATCATTAGGTGAGAAAATTCGTTTAGAACAATGGAAACCTTATCATGATTCAATACCTTTAACAATTCAACAAATGTTAGATTATGCACAATTAAAACAAATAAAATTAGTTCCATATGTTTATCCACCATTAGGTTATCGATCGAAAGGAAAAGATCAAGCTTGGCTATTTCCAAGTTCACATTGTAAAAATGTTTGTGCATCTCTAGCAAGTATAGAATTTCAACAATATTTTTTACAATTATTAATTGATTTTGCACAAATTACAGGTAATACATCTTTATTTAGAAATTAATATTTTGAATATTTAAATAATTAGGTATTGGTGGATATGCATGGGATTATAATTTTTATTATGATACTGGAAATACAGAATATAGTCAATGGCGTGGTTGGCAATGGATTCGTACCGAATTACTCATTGCATTACCATATTTAATTATGGATCATCGTTATGCATCACAATATGATGGTCCTTGGTCATGGAATACTTTAAATGGTTATACATCACCTTTATTAAGTGATGAAAATCCTGAAACATATCCAATATTATATCCATCTTTACATACTGATAAAATATCTGCAGATTTTATGCGTCAAGGAAATGTGGAACTACGTTTGGAACATTTCGCATCAATGAATTGTATTCCTGGTTTTATTGGACATCAAACAGAACGTTATTCATCCAATGGAAGTTTACCATGGATAGATAATAATTTAAGAGATTTTGATTTAATAGGTTTTTCATATTCATTATTATCGAATATAGCAACAGCTGGTTTAAATCTTATTCATACATATATACCAGCACGTGATTTACAAGAATTTTATTTATTACCTGAAAATTTTTTAGAATTTTGGTCGTATTGGTTAAAATGGTCAGATGAACATATTGAAGAAATATATAATAGTATACCATTTAATATCGAACAAGACTGGTCTTTAATGAAATCAAATGGTTTTGATGGATATTTATTTTTATTTAATCCATATTATAAACAAGTTTATAGAAAAATTTTATTTGATGGAAAATTAAATCTTAAAAATCCTCAAGAACAAGGTTATTGGTTATTAAAAGAAATTTATCCACAAGAAAGATTTATATTATTTATAGAATATAATCAAACCAATGAATTTTTATTAGATGGTCAATCTGTTACAATTTATCAATTAATATTTATTTCAATAATTAATCAACCAATTCTTGTTGGCATTAGTGGACAAGCTTTTTTAACAAATAAAAATATATTAATTATTGATGGAGTTTATGGTGAAGCTGGTACACAAACAAATAATCCTATATCTATTATTTTACCAAATCAAGATCTGATATTTAATGTATTATTAAATGGAATAGAAAAACGATTTAAACAAAATAAACAGATTATTATTTTAATTGATCCTTTATCATTTTCTGGTTTATATTTACCACGTTCAGCAGAAATTCTTAATAATACAATAATGATTAGTGATTTATTATTAAAACAATTAGTGAAACGTCAATTAGAATATCCTATTCAATGGACTGAAAAAGAATTAAATGATGCATCATGGTTAGGACCACATCGTCTTTTGTTATTTATATGTATTTTAAATCCAAATGATCAATGGAATATAACTGCTCAAATCAATAATAATTCAATTATTGTACATAAAAGTTATAATACACGTGATCATTATTATCAACAACGATTTATAGGATTCTACTTAGATTTAACAAATATTGTTATACAACCCAATGTTCAATATTATTTATCATTAAATATGCCACACATGCAACCAGGACAATTTCAAGGATTATTTTTAGAAAATATTGAAAGAATTCTTATTGAAGCATAAATAATTGTTTTTCTTATTAAAAAAAAAAAAAAAAAAAATTTTAGACCTTTCATTCGATGGAATAAATAAATCATTAAATAGCAGTATCAGTTTTTTCTTCCAAGACTAGGATGGATGTGAATGTGAATGTATTAATCTTCTTTTACTCACACACTGCCAAATACACTCTAATGAAAAATAGTCGCTTTGTGGAAAATTTATAACGTAGATTTCAAATAATTTTCTTGTAGAAAGGTTTTCGAGACTGTTTTGGAAACTCCTTAGAACTTTTACCCAAGTTCTAAATAGATCTCTGAAACTTCTAAAACTTTGACACCGTTTAAGATAGTAATATTTTACAAAATCTATGTAAAGTTTGGAAAAACTTCTAATAAATTGACGAGATCGTTTGAGAAACATTTCCGAAATAAGAGAAAATCCAGAAAGGCTTTGTTGTACATATTCGGCAATGTGAAATGTTTTTCAAGTATGAAAAATGTTAGATGAACTATAACAATACAAGAGACTAATCAATAGAGTAGTCTAGCTGATGATTTTTGTTCATATGGTGCTATAGCAATCATCATTATATTTCCTCGTTTCATTATTTCATGTAGAATCCGTAGGTATTATTGTTCAAGCAAATGTAAAAAAAATCATTTAATTACAAAAGCTATCGGTGTGTAATGTAAAATGTACATCTTATTATGAGTTATGAAAAGTCAAACATTTATACAGCCGTCCACAGTCATATTCACACCCTTATAAAAATGAGAGTGAGTAGTTATTTGCATGAATATTTATTCATTTCAATATAAGATCGACTTGTTTGCAACATAATTCTCTTTGAAAACGATTATTCTACCTTGAGAAAGTAAAATTTTGTCATGTTAACATTAATACAAATTACAATTTCTGTTGCCAGAATGATTTTATTTTATTGACATTATCAGAAAAAAAAATTAATTCAAACACCTTTCTTAAATTACGACAATTGAAATGTTGCTGCAATCATCAGATGATCTGAAGGATGAGTTTCATCCGGATAAGATTCACCAGAAGGATGATCCGGTAATTCCAATACTTTTTCAACCGTAAGATGACCATTAAAAAAAATGTAATCGAGTGTAGCGCAAAAATTTGGTGATGGTGGTGTATCACAAAAATTTGTGTAAACAGGTTCGGCTCCATTTTTCTCTCGATAGGCGCTCTTTAATACTTGTTCACAGTTAGGTCGATAGGAAATTTCATAAGTATTGGATTTTGGTAAATTGTAACCACCATAATTATTCTCTGTTAAAACTTGATAACTGATATCCCATGGTTTTATATTGAAGTCACCTGCTAGAATAAAATTTTCTCCAGCAGCTAATTGAAACATCAAATCTTTCACAACCGAAGAGTGGATTGACATGACATTGGGTTCTTTGTAAAGACAAGGCATGTGGTACGTACCAATATATAGTGGTTTATTATCGATAACGACTTGTATACAAATGAGAGTATTGCTTCTAGCCATGGCAGTTTCCCATGGATCAGATGCAATTCGTATAAATTTCTTCATGACACATTCGTACAGATTCCATCCCCATGTAAAGATATTGGTTTTTTTCTCATGAAGTTTACTAATTGAACGTATATGATCTCCAATTTTGATATAAGAAATTGAATTGAGCTGCATGGAAACTGGAATTGCTATGCCTACACCCATATAATCCTCACGCCGTGGACCATAAAGATTATGAAAGAAAGTGTAATTCAAACGACGAAAAAATAATTCAAGTTTAGGTAAGAGAGTAAGAGACAATTCTTGTAAACAGATGATCGTGTTTTCATGATGGACTATTTCATGTTCTAAATGAGATTGAATCAAATTCCATCGATAATCGGTTTGAAGAAATTCAGGTCGACATTTATAATAATGATCTGGACAATTACCATAAATAGGCACTAGAATATTATATGACACAATGCGGACAGTCATATTGACGTTATAAAAGTATATTTCTATCGGCTAATAAGTGAACAAACTGAGATATGGTGTAAGAGACAGTGCTTTATATAGGAATGCGATAAAAAGCAAGTTCACATATAATTCAATGACGATAAGAAATATGGCGCAAGAACAGAAAGAAATGACGCATGCACACATACAAACTATACCAATCACAATAAGGAAGAAAAAGGAACAGGTTTTCGACGATTGAGAAAAGAATGAAACGCATACTCAATGACTCACCAATGAAAATAAGAACATGTAAAGGTATGGATACTTGTGTTCCTAGAATAAAAGAAATTTCTTCAATTATTTAAATTCACCTTTACTTTCTTTTTAAATTTACAGCAACTAATCAAAACTTTTCTAAATTTAATATATTCTTAGCTATATATTTTTTCTTAATTCCTGTTAATTACAAAAAAATAATGAAGGAGAAAAATGTTATCTTTCATTTGTTAAAACATTCAAACTGAAATTTTATTGATATAGAATTGATTTGACAAATAAAGATCATAAACAATGTATACGTAAAGTCTACTCAATCATCAGAGTACTATAAATTAGACATGAATTCTACTTGATAGAAAATTCGATTTTGAATAGACTTGGCTGGATATTTTCTAACTTTCATTATTCATTTTCTTAATTGAAAATATTTTGAAAATCTTCGATATTATACATAATAGAAACTTGATTTCATTTGTTAAAAAGTTATTTCTGAAAAGATTGAAAAATCTACATTAATTGTAATTATATTCCGAAATCAATTTCAATTTTGTCAAAAGATTCTGTTTCAATTCTAACCTATATCTTCATTATTCTTTCTAAAATTTAGCTTATCTTAATAATCGCATGCAATAAGAGATGTCATATTTTATTTGAGGCATGGATTCAATTCATATTGTAATCAAATATAAAGCTTCTTTTTTTTGTTTTTACAAATTAAATGAATTTTATTTGTTTTAATGCGTATCATATATATATGAGGATGATATCATAATACAAAGTTGTTTTCGAATAATAATTTAGTTTCGGTATTTTATTAATATAAAAATATATAAAATAATATTAAATGAACAAGACCATTTGACATATACACCCGTGGGCAAAAGTCTTTCCCCCCATCTCTTTTCTTGGCAAGGTTTTCTCTGCTATTATAAGGACAAAACATGGTGTTGTTCAGGCCATATAAAAGAGGATCCCTAATAACCCTTAATCGGCCCGAACAACACCATGTTTTGTCCTTATAATAGCAGAGAAAACTTTGCCAAGAAAAGAGATGGGAGGGAAAGACTTTTGCCCACGGGTGTATGTAACGAATTTATCTAAATGATCACATAATACTATATTCATTGGTTTCTTTTGGTAGTTTCTATTTAACACATAATATAGTCATTTGTTTATTTTCGATTATTTTGTAGCTAGAGTATTTATTAGAAAGGAAATTGTCTATGTGTATCATGTTCTAATTCTATAAAATCAACAATTTTTTGTATGAAAATATGCCTTGTTGAAATCATATGGACATTTTTAAAATATTTTTTCATGTTCTCTGAGAATTCTTTTCTTGTTTACAGTATATATACATATATATATTATCGATGCACCACCAAACAACGCATTTACTTTTTTGAGAACTTATTCATAGATCAATTCAGTTTTACGATATATGTGATCCTTTTTCAATTTTATACTTCGGAACTTTAGATCATTATAAAATCAGAGTGTGCCTATTATATTCAATACCTTTCAACTAATATTCAAGAAACTGATTATCTCAAAAAATAATACACTGTGAGAAAAATAAAAATGTCAGGAGTTTCTATGCGTTTTTTTGCTATACTTGAATTGTAAATATCTTCAAATCCGAGTATCTTGTATTAGATATGCCGAAGGTGTTCCTCTACTTTTAATTTGTTAGTTTGATAGTGAGAACTTTTATTTAATCTAAATAAGTTTAAATTTCTTAATTTTAAATATAAATCCTTTTATTGTGAAATTCAAGTGAGGAATCTAAAAGACTAAACAATAATTGTTTATTATCACAGTTTGAAGCGAAAATTCCTTGAGAACAGGTATTCTTCCTGAAAAAAATTTAATCCAGTATAACATTCGGAAAAATACTAATTGGTTACAGCTACAATTCTATTATTTGGATGTTGTGTATATCTTCTTAGCTCATACAGATAAACTTGCTGAAGTGCAAATTCCATGTAAGATAATATGTTTTTTTTTCAATCTACTGAGTTGTCTCAATAGATGAATGTTAATTTTGTGCACAATTCTACAATATTTGGTGCATTGTCCACAGTACTCGGTCTAACAGATGATTTTAATTTGCTAGTACTTATCTTTTCATGATAGTCGTATCAATATCTATGAAATCAGATGATCATTTAGTCTATTCGTTCTGAAGTGTTGCCTTTAAACAAAAATATATGAGTATGGAATGAATTTCAATCAGAAAAATATTTATTTTGCTAATGTTAAGTTCGAAACTTGATTGAGTACACACAAACAAACAAGAAAATGGCGAAGTAAAATGCAAAACTTGTACGTAAGTGAATTGTGTCCCATGAATGACAGAAATGAACAATGGATATTTACAGATTTTTTTTAAGTAATGGTTGCATGCTCACAAATTGGTTATAGTCCATGAACTGATAATGGTATTGTTTGATAAAATCGAGCATACTAACAATAGACAAATAATTCCTAACAAGTTTTTGATTGAACGAATACAATGAAAATATCAATTTCATAGATATTAAGTTCAAAATATACATTAGCATTTCATAACACATTAACAAATCCATGAAGTGATACAAGGAACAGCTCTACTATATGCTCAAGTTTCTCTAGTTGAACACTCTAAAGTCTAACCGTCTATATAAACTTACTTATACACAAAGTATTGACTACTGAAAACAAAAGCAAATATATAAACAATTTAATCAAGTTTTTATCTCATCAATTATTCAAAATTATCGCCCTAATCATTCAAATATAATTGTATTCGTTGAATCCATTTATCGAATGTTATTTTTATATTCTTTATACAAACCAACTTCAGTTGCACTAGCAGTATTTAGATTTTCGAGAAAGAGAAATTCGAAAATTACTAACACATAAGCAGATTATTTTTCAGAAACTTCACTGATTTTTGATGAATAAAATATTAATACATGAAAAATATTGGTCATTACAGATACATAAGAAGCTCGTTTCTAGGAAATTTCGATAGTACTGATTCATAAGAAAGAAATTCGAAGAAACTCATAAGATTTCTTTATATACATATGAAACCAATAATTTCTAGAAACTTAGGAGACTTACGGACAGAAACTTCCTTGACTTCTGATAAAGTAATATAATATGTTTATCATTATCATATAAACTTTTCAGTAACATCCAAAACTAGAAAAGAAACTAGTGAAATTTCTCAGAAATTTCCGATCTATGCATTAATGATTATTAAAATTTGCTTGAAAACTATCTTCTAATGTGTTGGTAAGTTTGAAAATTTTCTGCCTCAGAAATCTAATCATGTCTCATCTCTATTACTATACATAGTGTCTTATGATACTGAACTTGAGAAAGACGTTCATGTACGTTATGAAACATAGAAGGAGTTCCGTGCACATTATGGAATTTAACAAGCGTTTCGACTTCGTTTCCAATTGCGAAACTTTTCTTTTCAATGAAGTCTGCTTGTTTATATTTCGTCTTCGACCTCTGTCTTACACTCACAAAATCATAAAGACCATCTTTGAACTGTCCTAAGAGAAAAGGTTAGATTGCCGTAAACTGAATACAGATCATCATGTATAATTAGCTCTGGCTTGATTATTAGATACAGGACACACTTTTTCATATCTATTCAGAACAGGCGATTTGTGTTTTATGTTTAATCTCTCTTTACTTCTTTAATTTTTACTTGAAAGTACATTCAAATGCAACACATACACACAAAACAAATGATACATGTATTTTTGTATACATATTTCGACGTCTAGGCTTTAGATTCGGCAAAAACAAACGAGAGGAGAAGAACAAAGAACACAACAACAAAAGAATACATATAGAAGACAATATGATCTAATGTTATCGTTACATATCATTAAAAAGAGCTCTTATCGAACATATTTTATTATTAAGATATGATGTGGATTTCGAATAAATATGAAATTCCATGTTCACACACTTCCTTGATGAAAATACTTTGGTAAAAACCGTTACTTTTTCTTATCCAGAATCCTTTTCTTTGTAAAATTCGTTTATGAATTTTTATTTTACTAGAAAATATCTTATAAAACACAACTTCAATGTCTAACAATAAATGCTTCATAAGATATTGTTATAATAGAATATACAACGTGTGTTGTTTGCGACCTTTTGAATTATTGAAAACTCTTTGATGAAATCCGTGAGTTAGGTAGAAGACAGCAGTAGTCTGATCGTCTCATTTCAAATGTTTACTTTTTCACATCCTCGTCTTTGACAAAGGTATTTCAAATATTACTGTGGGTTAGTCGACTATTGTATTTAAGTATGATAATGGTGCGTTCGTCTTTTTAAAATTATTTCAAATATTTGAGAGAGAATTTCTTGAAAAACAAAAGATAAACTCGTTAATATCATATCTTTTTGATTTCGTGCAACGAAAATGCAACTTTTCTTTTTCTCTTGTAATTAAGTACGAACACTATTTATTATTTTTTCCTATCTTCATTTAATTTGTTTCAGAAAAATAGTTGAAAACAAAACAGTGTTTCATTTATTCTTGTCTTCTTCTTAAATCTAACCTAACAGAAAATATCAACCAACACATGCATATAGTGCAATTTTCAACAACAAAAAATATTATTATCATTGCAAACATCAACAGTATAAAAAGAAAAAAAAAGAACAGAAAAATAAAGATAAAAGCAAAGACGATTAAAAAAGATAGCAACAATCTAAACAAAAAAATAAATGATAAGAGAGATATACTTGTAGACAGTAGAAGTGACAATGATAAACAATCATTGATGATGAATGCTTCACTAAAGTCATTATTTCTATCATTTTCTCAACGCTAACACTATTAACATGACACAGCGCAAAGTCAATGATGCTGAGAATAAATTCGTAGTATTTAATGAGCCAGATATGTGTGCATCTTTGTCACGACCATCAGTTAATGCTCATGATCATACCAATGAAAAAAACAAACATTTTTCGTTTTATTCAAATTATTCTCGTTTCTCAATATTTTCTCGTAATCGTGAGAAAGCTCGAGCTGAACAATTTTTCTTATTATGATCAATGGTTTGGATAGGTATTATGTTCTTTATAGTCTATACACAATGGTTCGAAACATTCACACCATATCATTATCTTGTTGTTGGATTGTTATTATTCATATTCCCTACAGTATTTCCCTTACTATGTCCATCATTCTTCCTTTCTGCTCATATTCCTATTACTCGTCGATACACTACTAAAGCTAATCTTTACATAGCAATCTTATCATGGATTGCCAATTACTTTTGGACACACTATTTCTATACAATATTACATGTTACATACACATTCAAAGCACATCGTTTCAATAATGTACCTATCGCACTCTATATGATTACACATTCTTACTTTCATCTATATCATGTCCTATCATCGATCATGATAAGAGTTGCATGGCGTCGTGTAATTAAGAAGAGAATAGTACAATACCTCTATATAGGAATCATAGTGATTGTTATGAGTTACACCGTAGCGTTCTTAGAAACTTTCACTATTCAAAATTTTCCTTATTATAATATTCCTAACCGATATGCTATGTATGTATATGGTTCCATGTTTTATGCCATCTACTTTATTGTAAGTTTTCCTATGTTTGCACGATTAGATGAAACAGCCAATACATGGAATCTATCGACAACTTTCATTGATAGTATGGCTTGTTGTATGATCGTCACACAATTATTAGATTTTTGGAGAATTAGTATTGGACCGGTGACTGAAGCACCAGCAGACAATCTTGTCAAGCCATCAGTACCCTACGTCTATTGATAACAATTCTACTATCTACTTCGTACGCGATACTACGTTAATATATGTGGAATATTCATAGACGAATAATGTCCATACAATCATATTTATTATAAAAAAAAACTATGTGTAGTGCAATTGGAAGTAGCATCAATATAATTAGAGTTCTATTATCGATTTTAAAGAAGAGAACACCTGTTTTTGTTTATTGTGAATAAATTTCTATAGGAAGAAGGTAAAAACTCGTGATTTCAACATGTGAAAGAAAAATTTTGTAGAATATGAGTGTTGAAAGATGAGCGACTATGGAATCCTATTGAATTGGATCGATGATCAAAGCATCATTGAGAAAAGTTTTTTCCTGCTGAATATTTTGATGACAGTTTTCTAAAAGTATTTTCGATTTGATTTTGAGTTAAACTATAATAATTCTATAGAGAAAATCTTTCTTTTTCAATCTACTCAAAACTTACTTATCGACTGTGTCTTGTTTAAGACTTAGAAACACTTTCTAGAGAGGTCTCATTTTGACTAAACAATCTTGGAATGGTACAAAAATGACTAAAGCAACAGTCGATGATTTTGTTGAACTAAGTAGCAATGCTTTTTTCTTTCTGCTTCAGTTCCATTTTGATTCATAAGGGTGAGTACAAGCAGTTAACGTAATCAAGCAGAGCAGATGAACGAAACGATGATAAACATTCACACCTATCACCAATCTTCGGCCTCTCCCCATTCTTACGCTTCACACCCGCACATTGACACTCTCAATCGTTTCTTTGTAAGGAGATTCACTTCGTAACAATCGATAAACACAGGAAGACAAGACAAATCTAAGAACGGTGAAGATTTATGACATTTTCTATGATTGTCTTTATTCGTACGTTTCAAAATGGAACTAAATAATATCAATGATATGATTGAAATTCGAATGGCAATAGATTGTGCTCTTTGGCTCACTATAATCAGCACTTTATTGATTGAAGTAAATGAAATTTCTAGTAAATTTTGATTATCTCAAATCTTTTGGGGATATGAGATAATTGAGGAGCTCATCGAATGTAGGTGTGAGGATGAACTTGCATCTCTTCATTGTTCTAAACTTCACTCACATTCCGCACAACATACACACACCGACCCATACACAACAAGCTAGAAATATTTTCAATGATAAGAACAAACTTCAATTTATCTTTTGAAAGATATACAAAGTGAGAGATATCGTCTTTATATTTAATTATCGAAGCTAGACTTTCGGAGTCATTCTAGAATATTATCTTGATTTTTTTCGTCAATATTTAAAATAGTCGAACAAGTCACAAAACATTGGAATAATTAGAGTTTTAGAATTTCCGAAATTTTTTTTCATAGTTTTATATATTTATTATTAAGAAAATCTAAACATTCAGCACAACACTAATACAATTGATACAACAAAAAACAAAAACATTTAATCGTTGATAGTAAGAGTTTGTTCGGTCTTTTGGACAAGCAAATCGAATTTATCTGTGAGCCATTGAACTTCTTCTGTTTTAACAATAGTATCATTGACAGCAAATAAACATCTTATAAGATTAGAAAAACATTTAACAGCTCCTTGAAAATTATATTTATAGACTAAATATTGCCAGAGTAGTTCAGTATATCTACTTTGAATATGTAAAATTTGTTTTATATTTGATAAATTAACAGATCGACTATTTGAATAAACTGTATATTGATTTGTTGAGAAACAAAGAATGGAAAGAAGTAGTTTCATAACGATTATATCAAAATCAAGTCGATCTGCTATACGTTTAGTAGCAGCTATTGCAGGTGGAGTAGCAACTATTCCAACAGCATCATAATAAGACGGATAACTGAACAATTGAATTTTATGGTAAATAAAATTTGAAGAAAGACTTCCTATATGTTTAATTGTAGTATGAAGTAATATAGAACGATCATCTGTAGATAAACTAAGAAAATCTCGATTATTTTTATATAATCGTTGAGTTTCATTCAATAAAATTTTGATAAATTCGATCACTGGTGTACTTTTAAAACGCATCTTAATAGGTAAAGAAATTTGTTGACGCATAAAATGTTCACCTATTGACAATCCACTATATTCATCATAACAATGTGACAAATTTGATAGTAAATTCCATTGATCCATACTTAATCTTGATTGATCTCTTTCTAAGAGATTCAATGTAGGAAGCTATACATAGAGAAAAACAAAAGTATTAAATTAATAGAAGTTAGAATATTTGTGAAAGTTTCAATTCTTTTTGAATAGTTTGTTTGAAAACTAAATTTTCGAGTAAATATTTGACGTTTGATATATGTTCCTAAGAGTTTTGTCAGCTAGAATGAAATTAACATCATTGGAAAAACTAATCAGCTCGAAATAAATAAAATATGGATTATTACTGAAAATAAACGTTAAGTCATTTTATAAATTCTATACTCTTAACAAATCTCAGAAGTAAGCACTTGAAGATTTTAAGTCGATGATAAATTTTAGTCTTCTCATTAGAATCTATCTATCTATCCTAAAAGTTACTTAAGTTCTCGACAAATCTCCACAAGAATAATCTTTCGAAATATTATATTTAAAAGTAACCCTAAATATTTGTTTCCTAAAAGATCGTGAACATTTGAAGAAAATAATATATCTTTATGAGAGATTTTACACATCTTAATAATAATCATATACTTAAATAGGATAATCAATTAGTCTTACCCGTACAGACTCATTTAATCTAACAATATCTGTTGATGCTGTTTGATTCGAATCTTTAATTGAGTTTCTTTTTCGATTCGGTGTATTCCTTTTTGAAAAAGAGGATTGAATTCCTTCTATTTGCATTCCACATGTGAAACATTTGACAAGTCGACAATAAGAACAAACATGACGAGTATTTATATTTATTTCACAATGACCATCATAGCGACACTTGAATGTTTCCTAAAAACAAAAAAACAAATAAAAAGTAAGTCTATAGAACTGAAAGTATATAGATATTTTCAAATGACCAGTCCCTGTTGAGCATTTCGTTTGAAAAACATTTTGCATGGCGAACATGATATAACTCCATAATATATATATGTTGCAGGAACTCCACAAATTTTACATTCCCTTTCTACTATTGTTGATTGACGTTTTTTATTTTTATAAACAAATGACGATGACTTTTCCATCATTAAGACATATTTACATTTGATTTAATCTATAAAACAAACAAATAATATTAAAATTATGATTTTAAACAAAAAATATCAAGAGGAAATTCTAACTTTCATTAACTTATAATCATAACAATGAAAAAAATTGGAAAAAATTATTAAAGAGATCACAATCATTTTCTTTAGAATATTACAATTATCTTACCAGGGAACTTCTCGAGCTGTCAAAAAACTTTTTAGTCAGAAATGTGGTGATTAGATAGGGCATAGTTAGGAGTAATATATCCCATATTGGCTCTTGTCCAAGTTGCTTCTAGCATAAGTTATGCATCTTTGAAGTTAGAAGCACAATAGCTGATTTTGCTGCTGAACTTGAGGTTTTTTTTCGAACCAGAAAAAACAGATTAGGCTAAATTCTTACTGTGTTTATTATAAGCATGGATCTTGATCATTTAAAAAGTTCAATCAAAAAATGATAATTAAGATACTATTTATCTTAAAAACTGAAACTGGCTCTCGTTTTTTCTTTATTAGCTAAAGAGATAAATTGTTGAAAATAAGTGTCAAGTTTTTTTTCTTATATGCATGCGTGACTATCATAGGAAAAGAACAAAGAAAGAATATAAAAAGGACTATGTTACTCTTATCAGCTATTTTAGCTGCTACCCAGTGAAAAATATTTTGAAAAAAAAAAGGAACAGAATGGTTTCATAAAAATATGGAAACCTTTTTTCTATGCAAAGAATGCGTTCATGTTCAAGAAGAAACTCTCTCAGTCTGAAGGAACTCGTTCTTTGCCGTTCCACAATAAGACGGAATGCTTTCTTTTCTATTGAGAAATTGTTCTCTATTTTAAGGAAAAGCATTCCGAACCATTCTTAAACCAATAGAATCCATCCTAGTTCATTCTCTTTCGGAACGGCACAGATAGCAATCCATCGAAATAAGATCGCTTTATTTTACGTTTTCTAGAGAAGCATTAAAAGAATGAATTCTTCTAAGTGATGAATACTTTCTTTTGGAATTAAAGCACATTTAGATTTAAAAATCAAAGATCTGAAGCAAAGCAGGTTGAAACTGATGTGAGAAATGGTGGAACCTTCAGCTAGTTATTCTTTGGGGATGCTACTTCTGATTTAGAAAAAGCATGATTTTAATAACAGTTTGAGTTACCACGATTTGGAGCACGCCATTCGATCGAGCTCGCCGAGTTACCCCGGAAATGGTCTTTTGACGAATTAAAGATTTATCCATTAATGTTTAGTCGTATGATCAAGAAAGTTACCTTCTCTCAAGAAGAGAAAGCATTCCAAAAGTGGTGGAAAGTGTTACAAAAGTGATAGAATGCGTTCTAGACGGTTCCATTTTGGAAAGCTTTCCATTTTTTTCGGAACGTTTTCTTTTCTTAAAAAAAAGGACTTTCAATTTTTTGAAACGCATTCTCAGCCGTTATTTTTTACAAATATTTTTTCACTGGGTATGGTATGCTGGTACACGTGTAAGGAGTAGGAAGAAAAGAAACGAAAATGACTTGATAATGTAATAAAAGCCATTACGTAGTTGATTATAATCGAACGAGTAATGGATGGATGAAGTAAATCTAATAACACAATTGCTTCGAGAGCGAGCATTGAGAAAACTTCCAGCTCAATTCATCACTTACTCCATTTCAAGAGGAATACTTAGCTGATCAATTATTCAATGTTCTTGAATCAATATGGACAAGCACTACGTATAATGAAGAGGAGAAAATGACTCTAGATCACAACACATCAGACAAAGAAATAGATGAATGCAAGGAAGATATTGATGAAGCATTTAACGATCCAGATTACGAAGAAAAAGATAATGAGAAAACCGTGTTTGGATTAGATGCCTTATTTGAATTTTCGGAAGCTTGTATCATTTTCTGTTGATGGATATAGAGGAGGTATAGGAATTAATTTTTTCGAGCAAGACTTGGCAAGTGGCACCAATATATTTTATGAATAGATGTTTTAATTCAAATACTGTTGAATGATCAGCTGTACCAATTAATCAATATCTCCTATACCTCTTTATACCTGCTATACCTCCTCTATATCCATCAACGGAAAATGATACGAGCTTCCGGAAATTCAAATAAAACATCATACGATAAACCACAGTTCTCTCAGGTTAACCGCGGTTTTTCTATGTCAAGGAGTCGGTAATCGGACCGGTAAAATTGTGGTGAACCGCCGGTTTTTGCCCGGTTTTCATCACATGGGTTGATTATTACAATGACATTAATCCAAAAACTGAAAAATAATCGCATAGTTGAAAGAAACGTTTAGCACAAATTTAGAAGAATTATTCATCAATCATATATGACGCGAGTCCGACAATATGTTGAACAAGAAACGAAGAAACGAAAAATTGATTCTTTAGATGGCTACGTTTACGACAAGTTTGAAAGAGCTCGAGATCTTCTGTTGCCAGTGCACGACATAGTTTAAAACGATGGGGTATACGAGAAGCCAGAACTATGTCATTACATAATTTTGTGACATCAGATATCTGGCTTTTAAACTTTAAACACAAGCACGACATTTTTTCTAGAAAGATTATTAAAGTAACAAAGGTTTAAAATTATATAGTAATGTATAATTACTGTTTTTTTTTATCAGATGGTTACAAAACATGAATTGGTTAATGAATAAGAAATTCGAATTTCAGCTGAAAAATTTGTTTCTGACGTAAGATCACTATTGTTGCATTACAGTGAAGATTCTGTATTGAATACAGATCAATCAGGACTTGAGCGCTCGAGATTCCTTCAACACGAACTGTCTCATCGAGGGGAGAAAACAACGTTGGTCACTGTGCGTTCGATCAATGCGACTGCTCATAGTTATACGATTCAACCGATAATAAGTATGAGCGGCAAGGTCGTCGATCCTGTTTATGTACGTCTCAAAGAATTCAATGGTCGAGTGAGCGACAATATCAGAGCAAATCTTCCGCAGATGCAAAATGTTGCCGTTACATATAGTGCATCTGGTAAATTAATCTCATCGTTAGTTGAATATTGGAGTGATAAATGTCTCATTCCTTCTTTGCCTTCGTCCAAGGCACTACTTCTTTTCGATAGTTGGCGTGGGCAATCAGATGGTAAAGGTATCTATGAAGTAGTAAAATGATGTAAGCGTTTGGAGACTCCTTGGAAAACAACTTCCAAAATTCAGTCTTTAGACGAATTCTCCAACAGGTAGTGAAAAGTCATTGAGCGGAAAGTTTACGAATGGGTTGTTCTTGATGAAATAGATAGTCATCTTGCTGAAAGAAATAATATTATACGTTTACAACCTCTAATTCATAATCAAATTTCTTGTGCAATCTTCACGTCTATGATGCGCTACGCATGATTCAAAAGTGGCTATATTGATGGTGATCCTCGACATTCTCAAACAGTCACGGAAGTATGTTTCTAATTTAAACAAGATCATTAAGACATATCTTCATGCGATCAATACACATTTATTCAATGTAACTATTCCAATAAAATATTATGTTTCCAAGAATTTTTCGTCAATTCTCATACTCATAATATCTAACTTATGCACGCAGATGCTACGTTTTTCATGATTTTGTTTTCACTGTATTCTATACTTTTCCTATGATATTTACGCATGCATACAAGAAAAGAAACTTGACACTTATTTTCAAAAATTTATCTCTTTAGCTAATAAAAAAAAAACGAGAGCCAGTTTCAGTTTTTAAGATAAATAGTATCTTAATTATCATTTTTTGATTGAACTTTTTAAATGATCAAGATCCATGCTTATAATAGACACAGTAAGAATTTAGCCTAATCTGTTTTTTCTGGTTCGAAAAAAAAACTCAAGTTCAGCAGCAAAATCAGCTATTGTGCTTCTAACTTCAAAAATGCATAACTTATGCTAGAAGCAACTTGGACAAGAGCCAATATGGGATATATCACTCCTAACTATGCCCTATCTAATCATC